GCAGCAGCAGCAGCATTGTCGTCATCATCCCCATCACCATTGTCAGGAGGTCGAGGGTCATGGAATACCAGCTGACTGGCAGGCGACCCAGAAACTCGTCACTGCTCTGCTGTCACTGGTGTCCTCTCCGTCAGCAACTTCGACATCGTCGTCGCCGCCGCCGGCAAACCTGGAGTTGCGCGTGCACGCCACGCTGGCGCTCACCACGCTGCTGGTGCTGTCGCAGCCCCCGGCAAACGGCGGCTCCAGCGACGACGGAGACGACGATCGGCGAGCGGCGGCGGCGGCACCGGCCTTCGCTCGCGTGCTGTCTCATACCGCGTCCACCCTGCTGCAGCTCGTGGCCAGCTCGCAGCACCAGCAGAAGCGCCAGCAGCAGCAGAAGAGGGGAGGTGCGGAGCGTGGAGCCGTCGTGCCGGCGCCCCTGAGGAGGGTGGCTCTGGAGGGCCTCGTGGAGCTCGAGGCGGCCTTCCCCGGCCTGCTCTGGGAGGAGCGCGAGCAGCTCAAGGCGCCGGCGGCCGGGACGACGGTGGGCGTGGCGGCGCTGTTGGCGCTCGTGCTCGCAAACGGCACGGCTGCCGGCGGCGGCGGGATCACGAAGAGTGGCGGCGACGCCGCTCCCCGCGACCGGTGCCGAGACGCGCGCTTCCGTGGCGGCCGTGCTGGACCGCCTGCCGCTGCTCTCTCCCCCGCGGCAGCTGCTGGCGGCGCGGGGCCTGGCCGCGGCGGCCTCCGCGGCCCGCGTCCCGCCCGTCGTGTTCAAGCCCCAGCTGCTGCGGCTGATGGCCTCGCGCGAGCCGCCGCTGGTGGCCGCGGCGCTGCTCATGAAGCGGGCGTTCGGCGACGCGCTGTTCGCGCCCGACGAGGAGGCGCTGCTGGCGCGGAGGCTGGCGGTGGCGGCGGCGCACCCCGCCGCCGGCGCCGCCGCCGCAGACGGCGCCCGCGTGCTGGCGTCACGGTGGCTGCTGCGCTTCCCCGAGAATTCTCCGCTGCACGACGACGACGACGACGACGCGGTCGCCGGTTGCTGCGAGTGCGGCGGCGGCGGTAGTGACGCCGGTGGCGGTGGTGGCGTTGGTCCGGATTGTAGCGCGAGCGGTGGGGTTGATGGGCACGGAGGTGACGCCGCTGGTCGGGATGCAGCCGTCGGTGGCGACGGTGCCGGCGGTTGTGGCGGTCGTTGCCACGGTGCTGCCGGTGGCAGGGGCGGCACCGTGCGCGCGCCGCTCTCGCTCACCCCGGCAGTCGCCACCAGCCTCTTCCCGACCGTCTTCCAGGGCTGTCCTCCGCTCTTCCCGTCATCGCGACAAGACGGCGCTTGCACGGCGTCCCTGCTGCTCTCCCGGTTCCAGCTGCTCTGCTTGATCCACTGCGAGGACGACTTTGGGGAGGCGCACGGCGAAAGCGGCGCCGGCGAGGGTGCCGACCGCCTGCTGGGCTGCCTGCGGGCGATGGCGTCGGACCTTCCCCGCCGGTCCCGGCAGAGGCGCCAGCAGCAGCAGCAGAACAAACGGCAGCAGCAGAAGAGACACCAGCAGCAGCAGCGCAGCGTGCCTTGCCCGTTTTTCGGAGCGGCGCTCCTCTACTTTCGTCACTTCCGGCAGAACGCGCCGGCGCTCCGCGGGCTGCGCCAGCTTCTCCTTGACGCGTTCGTGGAGGATGTCCGCCTGTCTCCCCGCCTCGTTCGCCTCGTCGACCGCATGCAGGAGGAGGAGGAGGCAGCGGAGGCGCTGGCGGCGGCGACGGCGCTAGAATCGTCATCGTCGTCCACGTCGTCGTCGTCCACGTCGTCGTTGACATCGGCGTCGCCACCGCCGGCGTCGCCCAGCGACGGTTTCCCGGTGCTGCTGCTGCGCTCGCTGCAGGAGGCGATCGTCGGCGCCACCCCCGGCTCCCGGAGCCAGCCGCTTAGCCAGCCGTCCCGGCGGCCGCTGGAGCGGCTGCCCTACGAGCTGCCGGTGTTGGAGCGCGCGGCCAGGGAGCCGCGGGTGCCCGCCGCGCCCACGCTCGCCTTCCTGCTGCGACTCGTCTCGCACGACGACGCCGGCACCGCCGCCGGCGTCCTCGGCGACTGGGCGGGCGGCTGCGGCATCCTGGCGGTGTGCCGGCACCTCTTGGCGAGGCCCGGCGGCGGTGCCGCCGACACGGTGGCCACGCCGCTGCTGTCCCGGCTGCTGCTCGCGCTGGCGCAGTCGCCGCTGTGCGACGTCGACGTGCGGGACCGGGCCAGGGCGCTCGCGGGGCTCCAGGCGGCGCTCTCGCCGGCCAAGCTCCGCGCTCTGCTGGCCGCGCCGCCGGCGTCGGCGGCATCGGTGGC